AAACTCCATCAACACGCAGCCTTTTTGGGGATTGTGCGCGCTCATCGCAGGAGCCTTTCCGATCCGAAGGCCGCACCGGGACCTAGGGCGCCAAACCTCCTTTCATAAAATACTCAACTTCCTGTTTCTCGTCTCTCCAAATTGAAATGCAGCCCGCGAAAATTCAATTTGGTAGACGTTAACCAAATTTACCCCTCCAGGCCGGCTCTCATCCCCAGCCTATTGCTCAGCAGACGCCCCCTTCCAATCATCTGTACCGACTCGCAGCCGCATAAAAACGGAGCAACTCCCACTACCGGCCTCCTGAAGCCTCGCAACCACCGCCTCCCCTCCTCCTCCTCTTCACCCTGCCTCCAACCTGCCTTCAATTTTCTTCCCGCTGCCAAATGCCGCCCCCAGTGCCTAGGTCCCGGGGGATTGTGCGCGCTCATCGCAGGAGCCTTTCCGATCCGAAGGCCGCACCGGGACCTAGGGCGCCAAACCTCCTTTCATAAAATACTCAACTTCCTGTTTCTCGTCTCTCCAAATTGAAATGGTCTTTCTCAATCGTGTAAAGTACAACAGTTCTGGCTCTGGGCGAGACAGTTCCAGTCCAGACAGACCTCGGTTCAACATGTTTCACTGGGACTTTTGTGGGCTTTTGTTTTTCACTTTCACACTTTTTCGCTGCTACAATGCACGGTAAGGTCTTTTATAATTTATATGAAAATGTGTTTATTTCTGACAGAGTTCAGAACAGATTTTCCCTCATGGACCAAAGGCTCATTTATGTCATTCATCTACAAATAGTAAATAATCAGTAATCATGTGCAATACTGCCATTTTAGAATGTCCACTGAATGTCACTTAATCTACTTATTATCCTGCCTCATATGAACATAACTTTGCACAATATATGTACAGTGCCTTGCGAAAGTATTTGGCCCCCTTGAACCTTTCAACATTTTGCCACATTCCAGGCTTCAAACACAAAAGATATAACATTTTCTTTCTGTTTGAAGTGGGACACAATCGTGAAGTGGAACGAAATTTATTGAATAATTTAAACTTTTTTAACAAATAAATAACTGAAAAGTGGGGCGTGCAATATTATTCGGCCCCTTTACTTTCAGTGCAGCAAACTCAGTCCAGAAGTTCAGTGAGGATCTTTGAATGATCCAATGTTGTCCTAAATGACTGATGATGATAAATAGAATGCACCTGTGTGTAATCAAGTCTCTGTATAAATGCACCTGCTCTTTGATAGTCTCAGGGTTCTGTTTAAAGCGCAGAGAGAACCATGAAGACAAAGGAACACACCAGGCAGGTCCGAGATACTGTTGTGGAGAAGTTAAAAAGCCGGATTTGGATACAAAAAGATTTCCCAAGCTTTAAACATCTCAAGGAGCACTGTGCAAGCAATTATATTGAAATGGAAGGAGTATCAGACCACTGCAAATCTACCAAGACCCGGCCGTCCCTCCAAACTTTCATCTCAAACAAGGAGAAGACTGATCAGAGATGCAGCCAAGAGGCCCATGATCACTCTGGATGAACTGCAGATAACTACAGCTGAGGTGGGAGAGTCTGTCCATAGGACAACAATCAGTCGTGCACTGCACAAATCTGGCCTTTATCGAAGAGTGGCAAGAAGAAAGCCATTTCTCAAATATATCCACAAAAAGTCTTGTTTAAAGTTTGCCACAATCCACCTGGGAGACACACCAAACATGTGGAAGAAGGTGCTCTGGTCAGATGAAACCAAAATCGACACAGCTCATCACCCAGAACACACCATCCCCACTGTCAAACATGGTGGTGGCAGCATCATGGTTTGGGCCCGCTTTTCTTCAGCAGGGACAGGGAAGATGACTAAAATTGATGGGAAGATGGATGGAGCCAAATACAGGACCATTCTGGAAGAAAACCTGTTGGAGTCTGCAAAAGACCTGAGACTGGGACGGAGATTTATCTTCCAACAGGACAATGGTCCAAAACATAAAGCCAAATCTACAATGGAATGGTTCACAAATAGACGTATCCAGGTGTTAGAATGGCCAAGTCAAAGTCCAGACCTGAATCCAATCGAGAATCTGTGGAAAGAGCTGAAGACTGCTGTTCACAAACGCTCTCCATCCAACCTCACTGAGCTCGAGCTGTTTTGCAAGGAAGAATGGGCAAGAATAATATTGCATGCCCCACTTTTCAGTTTTTTATTTGTTAAAACAGTTTAAATTATCCAATAAATTTCGTTCCACTTCACGATTGTCTCCCACTTGTTGTTGATTCTTGACAAGAAATTAAATTTTTATATCTTTATGTTTGAAGCCTGAAATGTGGCGAAATGTTGAAAGGTTCAAAGGGGCCGAATACTTTCGCAAGGCACTGTATATAGATAGACAGAGATACAGTATATTGGTATTGAAACATTTACAACTAGCTAAGAAAAAAGCAGCTTCTCATATGGTTTTTATTGTGTGCTACTGTCCTGTCTGTGCGCTGCAACACTGAAATGTCCTCACTATGGGACAAATAAACGATCTCTTGTCTGTGTTATATGTTTTTTTATCGTTGTATTTCTTGTGTTTGAACTGTTTGATTCTCTGATCTGTAGTCGGCGAATTCAACAGTTTTGTAAAGTCCTCTGCGAAAACTACTACAGTGGCTCAGTTGGTAGAGTATTGTCCTTTGAGCCTGAAGGTTGTGGGTTCGAGTCCACCACAGAACTTTCTCCACCGACCCCCACTGATGGGTCTGCTCTGCTGTTGTAGTATCCTTGGGCAAGACACTTCCCCCACATTAGAATGAGTCTGGTGTGTGTGTGAATGGTTGGTGGTGGAGGTGCCAATGGCAGAGACTGGTTGTCTCGCTTCTGTCAGTGTGCCCCAGGACAGCTGTGGCTACAGTAGTAGTTTATCACCACGTGTATGGAGTGAATGAATAATTACATGTGAAGCGTCTTTGAGTGTCCAAAAAAGCGCGATATAAAACCGAGGCATTATTATAATTATTAAAAAGAATCTTTTTAACTTCATGATGCACTCAAATCAATGCCAAATAATAAAGCACCCGGACCTGATGGCTTCCCTGCTGAATTTTATAAACTTTTCTGGTCTATTCTCAGTCCACTATTCCAAAAACGTATAACTGAAATAAAAGAGGATTCAAGATTGCCTATTCACATGAACTCTGCCATAATTTCACTTCTTCTCAAACCCAACAAAGACCCAACCTCTCCATCCAGTTACCGGCCAATATCACTAATCAACGTTGACCTCAAAATCTTTACAAAATCATTATCCCACAGACTGGAAAAAGTCATTCCTTCCATAATACATCCAGATCAAACCGGCTTCATAAAAGGAAGACATTCGTCAAACAACACACACAGACTCTTCAACTTAATGGAATACTCAACATTGCAACAACAGCCAACAATAATAGTTTCTCTTGATGGTGAAAAGGCCTTTGATAGAGTTAACTGGTCATTTTTAACAGCCACACTAGAACAATTTGGCTTTGGGGAATCATTTATAAATTGGATTCACATCTTTCACACCTCACCCACTGCTTCTGTACTAACCAATAGACTAATATTACACAGAGGAACTAGGCAGGGATGTCCACTCTCTCCCTTCCTCTTTGCTATATTCATAGAACCTCTTGCCGCAGCAATCCGCCAGAATTCACATTTGACAGGAATACAGACACCAACAACCCATCACAAAATAAGTCTATCCCACTAAGCAAGCCGACGTTGAATCAACGTAATTTGAACGTCGTTGTCCGACGTAGAATATAGGTCACTGGTGGGTGCAGAATGAAAGTTTTCTCGACGTCGTTTCCCGACGTCACCTCAACCTCCAAATGTTACGTTGATGGCACGTCAATTCAAGGTTTGAATGTGGTACAGAACCGGTCGGGTCTGACGTCCTCTCGACGTCTTATATGACCAAAATATTGACGTTTATATGACGTTCGTTTTCAGTTGTTCCCACTAAGCAAGCAGATGTCAAAACTATGTCATTTCAACGTCATCTGGACGTTCATTCAAGGTTTGAATGTGGTACGGAACCGGTCGGGTCTGACGTCCTATCAACGTCTTATATGACCAAAATATTGCCTTCATATGACGTTCGTTTTCTGTTGTTCCCACTAAGCAAGCAGATGTCAAAACTATGTCAGTTCAACGTCATCTGGACGTTATCTGGACGTTCATTCAAGGTTGCAATGTGGTACAGAACCGGTCGGGTCCGACGTCCTCTCGACGTCTTATATGACCAAAATATTGACGTTTATATGACGTCCATTTACAGTCCTATTGACCTACTTAACCTCTGCAGAATCACTCACTGGTCGAGACATACTTTTTGCAATAGGCAAGGCAAGTTTATTTGTATAGCACAGTCAAAACAAAAGGAAACTCAAAGCACTGAACAAAAGATAGAAACAATCAAACAAGGCATTACAATTATAAATATTGACAGTAAATTAAAAAGATACAAATAAAATCTCTCATAAAATCTCTCAGTTGAAGCAGAAACAGAAGTGTTTTAAACCTGGATTTTAACATTGTCAAAGAAGAAGCCTGTCTCACATTTCCAGGAAGACCGTTCCAGATTTTAGCCTTGTGAATCTGAAATGCAGCTTTATCATGTTTAGTTCTGACTCTGGGCAATAAACGATAAACACAGCATTCAAAAAGCATTAGAACAACTGTAGTAGAAGGATATCAGTCATTATTGCAAATGGAGCTGCATTAAAAATCATGTTTCTCTACATCAAAGTACAAGTTAAACCACACAGGGCACAGTGTTATGAACACTACTGTACTGAACAGTTCATGCCAAAGTAAAAAAACATGATTGTAGCGCCTATGTTTGGATCAGTATTAAAACAGGCACAAGCTACACTCTACTGTAGGTTCCCCAGATGTAAAAACACAATCTGAAAGGCAGAAGAATGTATTTATTGAATGTTGATGTTCCAACATGTGTCCTCTCTTGGTCTTCAGTCTCTCATCACAAGGTCCAAGCACAGCACCTGAAAATGTGGAACATGTTTAGTTTCAACATAATGTGGCAAAGTGATATAACAACACATAACTTTCTATTAATGCCTCAAACCACTCGATCCATCACCATGTGATACAAACCTTGGCACTGCACTAGCTCGAGACACTGGAAGACACTCCGTCTGAGAAACTTGGGATAAGGCTTTGGTCATTGGAGTAATTCCATGTAAAAAACAATTGCAAATGTGCATTTGTTTTGCACATGGACAAATGAGCCCTGAAAGCTACTTACCCTGTATTACTCTACACATGTTGCATTTCCGAGGGGGCATTTTCCCCTTGTTGCTCTTTTCCCTCATCTTGAGTGAGTTGCTGAACAATCTGAGAAAAAGATAGATGTTTTCAAAGAAAATACACCAAATAATGGTTTATTCTAAAAACAACATAATAATACAGAAGAACAATGTGTGAGAGTGTGATTCTTACCTTTGAACACCTTCAACACAGTCTGACACCTGTAAGACTGAAACACACATGACACATTAGGAATACACACAGAACATTAGTTATTGCAACAATCATGAAATTATACTCTATGGATTTCACAATAATTGACTGCATTAGCAAAGGTAAATGTATTTTAATTAACATATGGCTGGTTTTAAAGTTTATAAGACAAAGTAAGAAATTGAATAGAGTTGCAAGCGCTAGTTAGCTTGCTACCATCAGATGAATGGATATTTAATATTTGCAGCTAACAATAACAAAAATAACAACTTTAGTGGCTCATTTAAACAGCCACAGTGAGAAGAAGTGAAAGTCTCTGACATTGAAGACCTGGGAAGACATTAAATCCATTTAATTTAAACAAAGCAATACACGAACATTAAACTCTCTTTCTGCAGCAGGTAACATCTGTGTGCTCCTATGGTCCCACATGGTCCCACATGGTCCCACACCTGAACTCAACTCCAACTGATGACATCACAGGTGTCAAAGGGCATTCTGGTGAAGTGTTCAAACAGGCCCATAGGTGTAGTGAAAGCCGTTTTCTCTCTATCTGACGGCGCTACAGGGACCTGCCAGTACCCACTTGCAAGATCGAGTGTGGAAAAGAATTTAGCATTGCCCAAGCTAGCGAGAGACTCTTCAATTCTTGGCAAGGGGTATGCATCTTTGTGGGTTACTGAATTGAGTTTACGATAGTCCACACAAAATCTCAATGTGCCATCTTTTTTGCGAACTAACACAATGGGGGAAGCCCACGGGCTGGAGCTGGGCTCTATAATTTCTGAATTCAGCATACCTTGAATTAGGCTTTTCACTTCTTGATACATTTTGGGTGGAATTTGCCTGTAGCGTTCCCTCACTGGGTGGCGATGCCAGTCGGGATCTCATGCTGCATGGCGCTGGTCAACCCATAGTCCTCATCATGCTGAGCAAAAACTGCCCTGTGTTTGTACAGCAGATCTTTAAGTCTCCAAGTTTGTTCTGCAGGGAGATCAGAGTTTGTTAGATCAGGGAGGACACATGGTTCAGACTGGGGTGTAATTGGGCCTGTACTCACTCTTACAGAGTTAACCCCTACACGAGTCATGTTTACATCATTTTCTTGCATAATTTCAGCAGAGTCTATTGCAAATGTCCTAGCCAATTTCTGATGTCTGTAGAGATATATTGGTGAATCATTGACATTTCGAACTCTCAATAGCACTCTTCCATTTTTAACAGTGGACAAGGAGCGAGCCACAAAAAGGTCACCCACCTCCAGAGGTTCAACGAGGCACTGGTAATCTTGGTCGTTGACTCCGGGTTTTGTGCGGCCCCACACTAGCACGTCGCTCTGGGCAGGCACCATGATGGGGTGACGACTGATGGTACGGACGTGTCCAATGGAGCCATCTGGAGCTGAAAACTGGGCTTTTTTTGCACATATTCGCAAAGCAGACCTCCATGAAACTTGCTGGGCTTTGTCTTTAGAGAAGCAAGCAATTGGCTTTTCTACCTCAAAGCAACGAGATATAATATTCATGCCCAAGATCCCCTCTGAGTTTGTTAAACAATAGTCCTTTGTCACCAGAAAGCCACATTCAGGAAGTTCAAGCTCTCCTATTTTCACAGGCAACAGAGCGTAGCCTACATATGGTATATTTAGTCCATTAGCCGCTTCAAGAGCCAGCCAAGTACTCGCGTCCTTCAGCACTGTCCCATTGTCCAAATATCTTTGATAAAATCCCTCTGTAATCATAGACACATTTGAGCCAGTATCCAGAATGCATTTGATTGGGGCATTATGCAATTTCACATCGACAGTAGGAACTTCACCAATCAATTTGTCCATGTCTAGCCTTTGAGGCCCATTCGCACTAAAACAACCCACTGTCTGGGCCACCACAGCAGGGGCATTTAGTTTAAAGACTGCGACCTAGCCCTTGGTTGGCAATATCGAGCTATGTGTCCCGGTTGTGAGCACTTGTGGCAGATGGGATTACCCTGTTCATCATACTTATAGGAATTTCCCCGCTCATTCCTGTACGAATAACCCCGAGGCCTAAAACCTCTCCCTGCTGTATGATTGTAGCCATGGTCCGGGACACGAGTTTGGTTTAGTTCAGCTCTTACTTCCTTGATAAGTGACTGGGACATTTCATTGAACTGTGTTGTCATTTGTTTAGTCATTTCATCCTTCAACTCGATCTTAATTCGCTCCAAGTCTCTCACATAAGGCATTTGAATATAGTTCTCCCCTCTAGTGGCAAAGCATTGTAAAACTTCAGAGGTGTCTCCATAAGCTTGTTCTCTTAAAATAAGTTCATTTTTAATTGAATTAAAAGTCAGTGTATCATCGAGTAAAATCTTGGTTCTGAACTCACCCCTCACAGACGCATCTCTGAGTCCTTCCACCAGGTGATCTCGCAATAAAACGTCCTCATTGCCGATGCCCCTCGAGTCTTTCCTTTTAAGACGGTTGAAACACTCCTGCAGTCTCAGGGCAAATGAGCTGACCTCCTCATGTGGTTCCTGGCGGGCATTGAAAAACTGAGAGCGTAGGACAGAGGCAGTGGTTCGATCTCCATACAGTTTCTCCAATTCAGTGAAAATCAATTCAGCTGTGTTCCGTTCCTCTCTTGGTAAAATTAAAATCTCCCTTTTCGCCTTCCCCTCTAAACAGCAAAGTGTTAGCTCTGTTCTGTAGTCCTGTGGTATCCCCTGCAGCAAAAACATTGTTTCCAGGTTGTTTTTCCATTCCCCCAAGCTGATTTCAGAGTCTTTCCCTTTAAATTTGCTGTGGGTCATGTTGAGCATGGGAAACATTGCAACAGGTCTAAAGGCTGCACCTGCATTTGCACTGGAGGTGGATGCCTCCCCGTTTAATGCTGCATGATTAGTTTCAGACATGGCTCCTTGTACTTTCTGGTGATCCTGCCAGCAACGCCAGTTGTAACACAGTCAATCTTTGTCACCAGGGTACAAGGAGGCCACGACAGTTAAAAGTTTTAAAAGGGATTTATTACAAAAATAGTCTTTAAAAAGTATGATAAAAAGCTATTAAGTTAAAACTAGAGAGGGGAGAGGCTGGAGCTAAAACTTAAGGATGCGAGCTTTAAAAGGTCAGGGTCCAGGCAATGCAGTGGTTTGGCCGTGCTGGTATGGCTTTGTCCCCAGCAGGCCCCAGGTGCTGCACAGAACGATTGGCCTTCGGACCGCCTGGAGGACCCGAGCTCTGTTTCGCACCAGACAGAGGGAGAATGTCAGGGAACATGACAATAATAACAGTAAAACAAGTAAGAAGTCTGCCAATTTAAAATGAATGGGATAGGACTGACCTGTTTCGCACCAGACAGAGGGAGAGTGTCAGGGAGAGGAAAAGGTGCACTGATAATTTAAAGGGGAAGTACAACCCACCACAGCTGCCAACTAATTAGAAAACATGGCCATTGGCCCACACCAAACAAGGAAACACACGAAAAGAAAACCACACCTAAACTCAAAGTGGCAGTGAAGTGATGATACTTGTACCCTGTTACAAAACCAACAGGAGAAGTGGGAGAGACTGTTTTCAAAGCAATATCTGGAACCACCATCGACTGATGAAGTTTGGTATTTTACTGAAGATTGTTGACAAGTTTTATGAAAGATCTGAACATGTTTTATGAGTTTTCTGAGTTTTTGAAGTATTCCGAGTTCTGAGTTTTTTGAAGTACCGAGTGAAGTATGAGTTTTGAAGTATTGAGTTATGATGTTATGTTGCTGTTTATCGATCCTGATGGTCACACGTGAATGTATGACCAGAGGGGGGAATGTGAGATTTCATAACACTTTGAAGCAACTTTTGTTAAAGTTAAACTCATCATTCTATCAATGTGCAGAAGCCAGTACTTTTCCCTTGTTTTGTCTATCTGAAGGCCAAGCTACAAGCACACCGTGGAAGCTGCTGATTGGAGGTCTCCATGCCTCTGCTCTGTATAATACACTTGCATTCTATTGTATCTGTGATCGTGTGCTTTGTTCGTGCTGTCTCTACCATCGACAATAAAACATGTCTTCTGTCTGAATGAAAGACGCGATCCCAGACTATGCCATCTTCTTCATATTATATATATAATCATAGCTAGCTCAGATCAGACAACATCACTCCCATATCAAAAATGGGAAAGAGACTTAACGCTTGCTCCTGATGCCAACTTCTGGCCTCACGTTTGTTATAATATCCACAACATGTCCAAAAATACAAATCTACAATTAATACAGTACAAGATAGTACTCATTTCACAGCACAGAAACTCTCAAAATTTACTTCAATCTCGGATACATCTACCAACTGCACACAAAATACAACAGACACCTACATTCACGCCATATGGTTCTGTTCACCTGTTTTCCTTTTCTGGAGACAGGAGGCAGAATCACTCTCTGCCCTCCTGGACTGTCACATCCCACTCTGCCCATCCCTCTGCATTTTGGGAGATACATCATCACTAACACTCAGCCCATCAGACACTAAAGTTTTACTGATTGCCCTAACCATCACCAAGAAAACCATACTCATTAACTGGAAATCAAAAACATTAACATTCCATTGGTTAATGTTTATTTTAACATTAACCAATGGAATGTTAATGTCCTCCTGTGGGCCCACCACCTGCAGAAGGGTCCGTGGTGGCGCGGTGCAGAGAGGACTGGGCAGCAGTCGAAGGCGGAGACCTCAGCGACCCAGTCCGCACACACAACATCTGGCTCTTGGGACGTGGAACGTCACCTCACTGGGGGGGAAGGAGCCCGAGCTCGTGGGGGAGGTCGAGCGATACCGACTAGAGATAGTCGGCCTCACCTCCACACACAGCTTGGGCTCTGGAACCCAACTCCTTGAGAGGGGTTGGACGCTCCACTTTTCTGGTGTTTCCTGCGGGGAGAGGCGGCGAGCTGGGGTGGCCATACTCACTGCCCCCCATCTCAGCCGCCACATGTTGGAGTTCTCCCTGGTGAATGAGAGGGTCGCGTCCCTCTGCCTCCGGGTGGGGGACAAGTCTCTCATTGTTGTGACGGCCTACGGGTCTAACAGCAGTGCAGAGTACCCGGCCTTCTTGGAGTCCTTGGGAGGGGTACTGGACGGTGCACCGACCGGGGACTTCGTTATTCTCCTGGGGGACTTCAACGCCCATGTGGGAAATGCCAGTGACACTTGGAGAGGGGTGTTCGGGAAGAGCGGCCCCCCTGATCTGAACCCGAGCGGTGTTCAGTTGTTGGACTTCTGTGGCAGTCACAGTTTGTCCATCACGAACACCATGTTTGAGCACAAGGGTGTCCACCAGTGCACGTGGCACCAGGACACCCTAGGCCGGAGGTTGATGATCGACTTTGTTGTTGTATCATCTGACCTTCGACCGAGTGTCTCGGACACTCGGGTAAAAAGAGGGGCGGAGCTGTCAACCGATCATCACCTGGTTGTGAGTTGGATCCGCAGGGGAGGAAGCCGGTCAGACCTTGCAGACCCAAGCGTGTAGTGACCGGAGCCAGAGCTGTGTTCGCATTGCCGGCAGTAAGACCTGTTCCCGGTGCATGTTGGCCTCCGCCAGGGCTGCCCTTTGTCATCGGTTCTGTTCACTGTATTCATGGACAGGATTTCTAGGCGCAGCCAGGGGCCGGAGGGGGTCCGGTTCGGGGAACACAGGATTTCATCTCTGCTGTTTGCGGACGATGTTGTCCTGTTGGCTCCAACGAACCAGGACCTGCAGCATGCACTGGGGCGGTTTGCAGCCGAGTGTGAAGCGGCTGGGATGAGAATCAGCACCTCCAAATCCGAGGCCATGGTGCTCGACCGGAAAGAGGTGCCTTGCCTTGGGTGGAGAGGTCCTTCCTCAAGTGGAGGAGTTAAAGTATCTCGGGGTCTTGTTCACGAGTGAGGGAAGGATGGAGCGTGAGATTGACAGGTCGTGGTGAAGAGGGAGCTGAGCCAAAAGGCAAAGCTCTCGATTTACCGGTCAATCTTCGTTCCCTCCCTCACCTACGGTCGTGAGCTTTGGGTAATGACCAAAAGAACGAGATTGCGGATACAAGCGGTCGAAATGAGCTTCCTCCGCAGAGTGGCTGGGCGCTCCCTTAGAGATAGGGTGAGGAGCTCAGTCACACGGGAGGAGCTCGGAGTAGAGCCGCTGCTTCTCCACGTAGAGAGGAACCAGTTGAGGTGGCTCGGGCATCTGTTCCGGATGCCTCCTGGACGCCTACTTGGGGAGGTGTTCCGGGCACGTCCCGCCGGGAGGGGGCTCCGGGGAAGACCCAGGACACGCTGGAGGGACTATGTCTCTCAGCTGGCCTGGGAACGCCTTGGGGTTCCCCCTGGACGAGCTGGAGGAAGTGTGTGTGGATAGGGAAGTCTGGGCGTCTCTGCTTAGACTGCTGGCCCGGCAACGGATGAAGCGGAAGAAAACGGACGGATGGACAATGGAAAAATGTACTGTCAGATTATAGGGTAGAGTCACATACAAACATCTTCAATAAACAGTTTTTTTGACCAACTCCCTCAAGGTCCCTACTCTCACTCTCACTTTGACCAACAGAACACATACATACACCTGAACATTGCTGCCGTTGTCATCTACATCATCACCATTATCCTCATCACTAATATTGCTATTACGTTTTTATTATCATGATTGGTCGTTGTTGTCATTACCATACTCTTAACAATTTCATTATTGGCATTATTTAATTGTATATCGCTATAGGAAATGATAGCTTCTTCCCCCACCATCTCCTGTCTTTTAATGCATCACATTAGAGTAGCACTGAAAAACTTTAATAAATACACATAGGGCCGGTCGAACGTGGGGGAGAAACCCACTTCGGGACATCCCCTCATGTCTGCCTTTTAATGCACTGTAGAACACATGACACACAACAAAGTAGTGAAATTGTAAAACTAATACACTTAAAATAGGGAAGGGGTGGAGGGAAGATAGCCGTACACCATGAAATTATGATGGTGATAATGATAGTGATTATTATTATTATTAATAAGATTGTTGTTATTATAATCATTATTGTTGTTTACAGTATAATCTCCAATTGAAAACTCAGATGGTTTTTGGTCATGAGGATTAAAGTGGAGTATTATTATTGGTGGCGAATGGCGATGGTGACAATGTGTGGATGACAAAAATATTGTATCTGTATTTCAACTACCTTGACACACACACACACACGTACACGTACACGTACACGTATACTAACACTCACAGAATACCTCCCTCAGTTACTACTAATTTCCTTGATTTGTTATTGTCTTATTTATTTTTGTTTGTTTTTGTCAGTCTATTGGTTATCTTTCTGACTTTTATGTTATTATTGCTTTTGTATTGTATTGTTTGTGTAAATGTTGCATAATAAAAAATATAAAAAATAAAAAACGCTTTCAAATCGGGAGTTGTTGATAACCGGAGGAAGTACTCGAACATGAAGAACATAATAGTAATGATTTCCACCCACTCCATGTGTGTTTTACCATTTGTTTTGTGAATCTGGAGCTCTTCAACTGTGTCCAGAGCAATTGCGATGATGGAAATAAGAACACACAGATTGGAGAAGAGGCTGAAGGCCTTGGCCAAAGGGGAAGAGTAAGGATTCTCTGTAAAATTCCACAGCATCTGTCTGGTGTCTCCCAAAACCATGTCTTTAAAATGTTCATTGGAATACGTCATCTGAGTTTCAGCCAAAAGTTCTCTCTCCACCTTGAGTCTTTCCTGGACGTCACCGACCTTTTCCTCAAATAATAACCAACAACACAGCTGCGTATCGGTCAAACTCAGACCCCAGTATTCCACCTCCTCCTCAAAGCTCATTGGACAAATTTCTTGTAAAAATGGCGGATGTATGGAAATAATGCAGGGTCACGGTCAAAGAAGAATTCGTCCTTATACACGGAGTAGTCATCACAGAGTCTGAACACTTTGTCAGTACTGTCTTTATTGTCCTCTCCCATCTCTGTGTGGAGTGAGAGGACAAGTGCCCAAAAAATAACAATTGTAAACCGCTTTGTGAAAGGCGGTATATAAATAAAGCTTACTTACTTACTTACTTAAGAGCCAAGGAGCCGATGCGGGTATTGGGGTATTTTAAAGCACACTGAGTGGGTATATTCCAGACTTTACCCCCAACGTTGAGTGTCATTTGTTGCTTTTCTGCTTTGTCTTGAGTTGTTTCGCCTGTGTCCAGATTGCTTAAAGACTTCCAGGATTTCACAGGTTTGTCTTGACTGGTAACGTCCTGGACCCCACGCGGGAGGCAGGGGATGGTGAACCGACGGGTTGGGTCCAGGCCGGCCGCGTCCATTGTTGCGTAGTGTCACCGTTAATGCAAAGAAAGAAGCAACACAGGAACTACTCCAGGAAGAGCTGGTGACACAGCGAGGCCGGAGGTCCCACAGGAAGTCCTTGAAACCAGTGCTGCTCCTGCACTTCTCTGAAGAGAGACGCAGATATGCAAAGTGTTTCCTCTGATTCCAGCAGACCGAAACACTTTGCAGAGCTGTTTAGCCATGTAACACTTTTACACAACTGAGGGATTTTATACAGTATTTGTATCTTTCTTTTTAATGTTCTGTGATTATTTATGATTTTAATGCTTTCTTATTTTGTTCAGCACTTTGAGTTGCCTTGTGTAAGAATTGTGCTATACAAATAAACTGCCTTGCCTTGGTCCATTGCCAAGTTACTTAAGTACTTTAGTTGTGTTGGATTAGTGATTCAAGGATTAAGGCCTTCATAGAGTCTGACTTTATGTGGCTGTTGCTGTTGTACATTGGAAGCTACCAACAGTGGAAATCAAACCAGTTTTACTATTTGAAAATACTGTTAATTTCCAGATATTATTTACAAACACTGCAGAATTTAGAGAGGTATTTAGACAGTAATGTGATTTATGGCATTTGTGTTTGTGAATAAACACAATGTAATCATGAATATTTGTAGATGGAGGATCATTAAAGTTAATTTTATGAGAGGATTTGTAGGTTTTACACACTACTGTCTGTACTGTGCCTCTTTCTATGTTTATTATACTTGATACGAATCAGAAGTTGGATTTCAGACTGTATGTAACCTGGTCACATGGAAGAGTACGATGTAAAGCCACAGCCAACATTTATGAATGTACTTCATAAATGTTCAGTAATAATAAATAATAATATTCATTATTACAGGAAACAGGAAGCTGAAACTCATGACTCGGTCCATCTGCAGTCTCACGTCTGATACTTTCAAACATAGAAGAGACCAGAGAGAGAGAGCACAGAGAGAGACCATGCAGAGAGAGAGCACAGAGAGGGAGAGCACAGAGAGAGAGACCATGCAGAGAGAGACCAGAGAGACCAAAGAGACCAGAGAGACCAGAGAGACCAGAGAGAGAGACCAGAGAGACCAGAGAGAGGCCAGAGAGAGACCATCTTCAGTCTCATGTCAGATACTTTCAAATGTAGAAAGTGGAAATGAAAACGTCTGAAGTCAATCACATCAGACAGAATGTTGTTGTTTACTATTACACCAATAGCATCTGTTTAACGAAGTAAAAAGATCCAAATAAAGTTCATTTCTAGCTTTGTCGGCTGCAAATGGTTTTTAAATGTGGTTTGATGCGGTGACTTTTTATTTTTTTGAGTCTGAATAAACCAAAACAAGTTTCACCTAATAAATAAAATAATTTATTGAAAAATACAACGTTCCAGTGAATTCACACAGCAGAGATCTCCATTCTCCAAAACAAACAATCAAAACCCAAAAGGCTTCAAAACATCCACTCCAGGTAAGAAAACATTGTTTGATCCATTTAGCCACGGCCAGGTTAAAAAAAATTACATTTACAGTTCAAACTTTCAGTAGTTCGTCTTCTGTCTCCGTCTTTACAGTCATTCAAAGTAAACAACATCATTTCCAATGTTCTCTTCCTAAAATGACTTGTGCGCTAAAACTTCCATTAGTTTAGAATTGTACATTATTTCAGGAAGCACAGAAATACTGGACCTCAATCTCTGAGTCCAGAACAAAATAACCTCATATTCCACTCAAGGAAGAAAAGACAAAGGCACTGTCTCCCATTGGCTCTCCCACTGTTGTTTCTTTGTCAATAAAAACATAAAAAAAACTGCACTTGTTTTTGAGGAGCACACCTGCCTTAGATGGTGCTCAAGGCCAAGTGGTGAGGAGGAGAAGGAGGAGGAGCAGTGAGGAGGAGGAGTGAGGAGGAGCAGTGAGGAAGAGGAGTGAGGAGGAGGAGTGAGAGGGAGCAGTGAGGAGGAGTGAGGAGAAGCAGTGAGGAAGAGTGAGGAGGAGCAGTGAGAAGAGGAGTGAGGAGGAGGAGGAGTGAGGAGGAGCAGTGAGGAGGAGCAGTGAGGAGGAGGAGTGAGGAGGAGGAGTGAGGAGAAGCAGTGAGGAGGAGGAGTGAGGAGGAGGAGTGAGGAGGAGCAGTGAGGAAGAGGAGTGAGGAGGAGGAGTGAGGAGGAGGAGTAAGGAAGAGGAGTGAGGAGGAGGAGTGAGGAGGAGCAGTGAGGAGGAGGAGTGAGGAGGAGGAGTGAGGAGGAGCAGTGAGGAAGAGAAGTGAGGAGGAACAGTGAGGAGGAGGAGTGAGGAGGAGCAGTGAGGAGGAGGAGGGAGGAGGAGCAGTGAGGAAGAGAAGTGGTGAGGAGGAGCAGTGAGGAGGAGGAGTGAGGAGGAGAATTCAGAAGAATAATTAAAGAGGAGCAGCCAGCAGGAGCAGTGAGGGTGGAGTGGGTGAGATGGTCTGGCCGTCTGTGCTGCTCCTCCAGTCCGCCTCTAGGTGGAGCCTGACCGGAGTTTCCTGGAGAGAAAAGTCCACAGCTCAGACTCTGCTCAGACCTGGTCCTGGTCCTGGTCCTGGTCCTGGTCCTGGTCCTGGTCCTGGTCCTGGTCCTGGACTAACCACAGATTGTTCAATAAAAATCCTATCATTCACTGAAAAATAAAGTAAATTAACAAGAACTTAAACTATAATTATTCATTATATTTCATGGAACTGGTCTGAGATTCTGCTTCACTTTTAGAGAGAGCAGAGAGAGAGACCAGAGAGAGAGAGCAGAGAGAGACCAGAGAGACCAGAGAGAGGCCAGAGAGAGACCAGAGAGAGACCAGAGAGAGGCCAGAGAGAGACCAGGGAGAGACCAGAGAGAGACCAGAGAAAGACCAGAGAGAGACCAGAGAGAGAGCAGAGAGAGAGACCAGAGAGAGAGAGCAGAGAGAGACCAAAGAGATCAGAGAGAGACCAGAGAGAGACCAGAGAGAGACCAGAGAGAGGCCAGAGAGAGACCAGAGAGAGAGACCAGAGAGAGACAAGGGATAGGTGCTCTTCTCTGAAAGAGGTCTGTGATCTGTCTATTCTGGAGGTTTCTTTATAAATCCAGACTTTTAAACGGAGCTCTTAGAATAATTAATGACTCTTCTGGCTCTTTGAAAAGCCATGTTCCAGCTTCTTCCCTCTGACAGAAGATTTCGTTCACTGATATACAGGATATCTCGTTTTGCTAACAGCTTCTTTCCAAACTTTAATAATCTTGCACTTGATTTCAGTGACAATTGTGTTTGTTTTATTCCTGTACTTGTCTTGTTCACACTGGGAACTTTTGCAGATGTATTCCAATGTGGTTTTACGGCAAATGGGAATGACAATGAATCTGAATCTTACTTTAGTGGGGCATAAGTTGAGGTCGATGTTAGCGTCCCTGAGCAGTGGGTCTCTGGATTCTTTTAGCGTGAGGCTGTGGTCATTGGAGGTAAGCGGCCGGAGCTCCTCTCTGCACCACCACAGACACAGGCCCAGCAGGAGCACGATAAGAACCACTGGAAACACACAAGTTCAAATAAAGTGGGTTTATTATTACACCAACCGGTTTTTACGAACATCGGTTTGTTGTGAAAGTACAGAAAGTACAGCCCGACTACTTTATTTATAGTTTTCTATCCATCCATCCATTTTCTTTCCCAAGGACACAACGGCAGCAGCCATCAATGGGAGTTGTGAAGTAAGTCTTTAGGTGGACTCGAATCCACAATGTTCAGGTCTAAAGGCCAATGCTCTACCAACTGAGCCACTGTTGCCCCCTAGTTTTCTAAAGTTACATATTTTATTTGATGGATTTCAAAAGACATAAAAAAGACTAAAAGGGATTAAAAAAATACAAATCAAAAGTAAATGGATACAATCAAAAGGCACACACACACACGCACACACAAAGAATACACACGCACACAGAAGACACACACGTACGCACACACACACGCATTTCTTCTTTCAAGACCTTCCTTTGTTTGATGGTACACATGCAAACATTCCAACTGTTCATGTCAAACTGGGAGTGACCCTGGAAACAGTGATGCATCATGGGATCATGGGTGAAGGGAGATGAACAAACAGGACAAGTACAATCAACAATTCTAAACCATAATGGTCCCACAACGCCAAGAGAAGTTTAATTATCTAATGTTTGCTCTCTAGAGCTTTGGTTAGGGAGAATAGAAGGGAGTTCATTACATTATGAAGGGATTTCGACATTACTTGAATGTGACTGAGTTTCACTATTATTTTGTGGTTGATTTTCCTAAAAATGTGTTAAAATTGAACCGAAACTGGTTTTGATAATGACTAATGATTGGTTGTGATTGAAAATAGATGATACATTGGTCATCCATAACCATCAATGCTGCAAGTTAATAATAATCATTGAAAATAATTTTAGGGACCACTAAAAATGGTCTTGTGAGCTGGATTTGGCCCACGAGCCTGAGTTTTAGATGCCTGCTCTAGAGTTCTCTTCAAGCACAACTGCACCCCAAGGGCTAATATTGAAAGCTAACATTTAAAAAAATAAAATAAAATCAGCAATTCACAAGTTGTATAAGAAATAAAATAAATATTTCCCCTACAAACTGTTTTAAATGTGGAGCCATCCATGAGCTGAAGATAAGGTAAGGTACAGAATTTGTCATCAGAGGTAAAGGTGTCATTTGCCTCCGTCCTGCAATGACACAAATTTCTGTCTGCTCCATAAACAGTAAATATTACCAGTCGTAGTCACGCCGATCTCCACCGTTCAAACTAATGTGCCAATACTTTTGCCTTCTGTGGCATTTTCGAAATGGCCGCGGGGCAGGACAATGTGAAAAAACACATTGGCACATGCGTTAGCTGCACTAGCCCAATTCATTTAACGAGTGCATTCTGAAGTCCACAGCGGCTAAACTAGACTGGTCCAAAACAAATATACTCTCCTCAACATCGACAGCATCTGGACCGTAGCTTTGGACCAAGAACCACTTTTGGACCAAGAGAGACTTTTGGACCAAGAGCCACTTTTGGACCAAGAGCCACTTTTGGACCAAGAGCCACTTTTGGACCAGGAGCCACTTTTGGACCAGGAGCCACTTTTGGACCAGGAGCCACTTTTGGACCAAGAGCCACTTTTGGACCAAGAGCCACTTTTGGACCAAGAGCCACTTTTGGACCATCCTGTAAAGACGTTTTCAAGAGGAAAGAAGACACCATACAAAAGCATTGGGTAATACTGTTTCTGGGTACACCTCCACCGGGGGGAGTGAGATTGCAGCCTGTCAGTGCCCTTGCTCACTGGTCAGCTCCCAGGGACCCATTTCCAGGTGTTTGAATGCTTTTTACCTTTACAAAAACTAGAACAAGAACTACAGTATCTGGAGCCGTACACTATATCCACAAGTAGAATTATAATATAGATTGAATAATGTTACTGATATTCACATAACTAGGGTTTTTAAAAGCAGAAATTTCACTTAAATATCACTCATCGTTGAAAGTAATCAGAAGTTTCGCAAATATTAAAGCTCATTTGATCCATGTGTTATAGTTTTTGATGTGTTTGTTTGAAATAATCCATATTCACAGCTTAGTGTTTTTAGGTTTCTCTGTGTTTCCAACAACACAAAACTCTGCCAAAAGTTAGTGTTGGTTTACAGTGAAACCTCAGAAGCTGCTGCCAATAGACAATAGTATGAAAACACCTACAACATTATTGGAACAAAAGGTTTCTATGCCGTTTTGTGTAGTATCGGGTGTCCTTAATAATACACTAAAACCAAATACCACTAAAAAGGTGTCTTTTCAAGATGGCGTCAGCGAGGGGGCATGACCCTTCGCACTGGCCTTAAAGGGACACCGTGTAGTTTTTACTCCCATCTAGTGTTGGGATCACATACTGCAAGTCTACTTCTACCACCAACACTACGGAAGCCTAACTATAGCATTTAGCCTAGCTTTAGCCATCTCCTTTGCCACTAACGGAGCCCATGGGGAGGAGAGCCACAACATCTTTGTATCAAAGATAATTTCTAAACATTCCTCTTGCTCCGGCTTCAATTTCTTGATATTTGGATTGAACCAGAACAGATTATTTTAATATTGCATTCTCCAACAAACTACAACCAGCAAATTCAGCACAAACTCAGCACCCCGCTCTCTGATTGGTCGGAGGAGATTCAACCGAGGAAACTGCAGCCACTAGGATCAGACCCAGACGTACATGTAGGAAATGATCATGGACCATGGTAAGACCAAGCCCCGGCAATCCAAGATGGCGCCGTATTCAGATGAATGGTTGTGCTCAGTGGCGCTTTGTGCAGGCACGGTCGTTGACATATTAGCGGAACTCGCAAAGATCCATGGGAAACTCTTCGTCTGGTCCTCCCGGTTCTGCGCAGTGGATTATCTCCCATGATGCGTTGCGCTATCTCCCATGATGCGTTGCGCAAATACGCGTGTGTGGGTCTCACACGGGGTCTCACGCACGTGCACAGAGTGGCTCGGCCGCGCAGCTCATCAGAGCAGGAGTTAGAGCGAGAGCCAGACGGGCAAAGTTTGTGGCACTAAAGTGTGGATTTAAAGAAAACCGAAGGATTTAAGAAGAAAAAAAGTTCAGGATGACAAGGGACATTAAAATCCCCACAAAATCCAACCTTTATGAAAGCTGTAGGTTCTCTGTCAGCTGAGGTTGAGCTGTTTAAACTTACATTGAGTTCTATGGGGAAAATGTCTGGGTAGCCCACGTGAATTTAGTCTTGTTTAGTCTGTAGTACAGAGAGATTCCCTGAGCACATGAGTGCCTTCAGCTATAAACTAGCAATACCCTATCCAGATATTATAATAGATCCATGGGTAAGACCCAGACGCACATGTAGGAAATGATCATGGACCAGAGTTTACACATGGTAAGACCAGGCTAGATCAATACCAACTGTGTACAAGAGTGTATGCGTGTGTGTGTATGTATGTTTTTGAGCAAGAGAGTGTGTGTTAGGGGTGGGCGATAGGGCCTAAAATTCAGATTGCAGTATAATTTGGGACACAGACGGTAGACGGTATATATTGCGGTATAATTTGGTGTGTGAATTTCAATATAGGTCTAACAGGATCTTGCATAAAATTGTCAAGATTGTTACTTATTTATATATTAGAATCTACTATATTTATTTTTTGAGTTGTGAGACGAATGAATAGACAAATGCTGTAACATGCATTATTTATGTATGTTACGGTAAAGACCATTTACTGTAAAAGCAATTAAAAAAAAGAAAAACATATGTATTCATTTAAAATATCTTAAAAAACTCACAAATGTTGAAATCAAAGCCTGTAGCAGTTAGACATGGTCATTATTTATAGTGTCTGAGAGTTTTGTGCGTGTACATGGCTTCAGTAAAAGCTATTGTTCGTTTACAAAGCTGGTCTTGCCATTTGTTGACGCTCCCTATGCGCTTTTCTCGGCGCTTGCAGTGAACTGGATGATTCAATGGATTTATGTGCATTAAAACAGCACATTGGATTTGAACAATTTATGTAAATGTCATTTTGGCACAATTACATTTTGTTTAACAGTAGTGGAGGTCCGTATATGACGCTAACTTTCCCAAACTTCTGATGTGATGATGCTGCAGACAACGCCCCTTTGACACTGATTGGCCGAAAGGTAGACGCGTGTGATTGCTGTGTGTGTATTTACCTCTGCTGGGGCGCTGTGACAATCAATAGTTACCTATATAACTTAAGTTCTACGAATAGGTGCGTAGTCCCTAGGACTTCGCTAGTGGGATATCACGTGACCCCCAGGTCACAGACGCCAGAGAGACAAATAAAAAATGCTCCAATCACAAGCCGGGCTGGCCTGATGGGCTCATAGCTAAGGGACTACGCACCTATTCGTAGAACCTAAGTTATATAGGTAACTATTAATTCTACGTCATGGTGCTACGTCCCTTAGCGGACTTCGCTAGTGGGACACAACGCGGAGGCCGTAGGAACATGTACTCCCAGCAGGCCAGCGAAGAGTGATTGGAGCCCCGCCCGAGCAAGACCCTCACACAGTGAGAGAACTCAGGGCAGAAGAAAGCAATTGCGTGTTACAGGGCCGCTCCTCCCAAGGACACCCCCAAGTAACACAGACCGAAGGCCACCCGTAGTCCCAGGACGCCTCTCCCAAGAGCTCCTGACGAGGACTACCTGACTGACCAAAAGCACACACATACCGCACCTGCAGGACGCCTCTCCCAAGAGCTCCTGAACCAGGGCGGACAAGTCAACCGTAGACCCCCTAAGAAGAGGAATTTCACGGTTTCAACTCAATCCGCTGCCTCCCCTGCAGCTGAGGAGCAAAGTGCAGCAGCACCCTGTGTACTGCCTCCATCTCCAGAAGGTTGATGTGGCGGGCTGAGTCCGACCAGCAGCCTCCTACGGAGCTCTGACCGAGGACCCCGCCCCAACCCTCGAGTGACGCGTCCGTGAATACCTCCAGGTGAGACACGGCGCAGGCCAGAGTCACTCCGTCCCGCAATAGACCCGGAGTGAGCCAGAACCTGATGTCCGACGCTGCAGTTTGGGGAACCCAGATCAGCCTCCCCCCGTCCCGGGAGGGGTGAAGCCTGAGGCGTGAGAACCATCTCTGAAAGTTCCTCATGTGGAGGAGGCCTAGCCGCACCACAGTATGAGCCGCCGCCATCCTCCCCAGCAGGGACCTGAGGCGCCGAGCGGGGACCCTGGGGCCCGCTAGCACCTCCCTGGCTAGACGGGTAATTTTCCTCCGTCTGTCCTCGGACAATGCAGCACGGAACGTCACAGAGTCTAGCTGCAGGCCGAGATAGATCATGAGCCGGTTGCAGCCTGCTCTTCTCCCTGTTCACCACAAAGCCCAGACGCTGTATGTGGGAAAGGACCCAGTGCGTGTGACTCACGGCCACTTCCCTGGATGAGGCCAGTATTAACCAATCGTCTATATAGGTTAATATCCTTACCCCCGCGCGTCTGAGCGGCTCCAGTGCCGCCTCCACGCACTTTGAGAAGGTCCGAGGCGCGAGCGCGTAACCGAAGGGGAGACAGCAGTACTCGTAATTCCTCTCTCCCACTGCGAAGCGCAGAAACTTCCTGTGTTCCGGAACTATCGCCACGTGAAAACAAGCGTCTGTCAGGTCTATGGAGGACATCCAATCTCCCTGCCCGACACACTCCAGGAGCTGCCTTGTGGACAGCATCCGAAACTGACGCTTGGAAATGCACTCGTTCAAAGTGCGCAGATCCAGAATGGGACACACCCCTCCTGACTTCTTTCGCACTAAGAAGTAAGGGGAGTAGAGCCCCCTGGTGGCGTCCTGTGGGTCTACCTCTACTGCTGCGCCTCGACTTAGCAGAGAGGAGACCTCTGCTTGCAGTGCCTCTATCGATCCCCGTACCTGACAGCGTGCTGCCCGCACGCCCTGGAATGGCGGTGGCTTTTGGGAGAATTGCAATGCGTAGCCCCTGCGCAAGGTCTTCTCTAGCCACGGATCCGACAGTAAAGCCTAGTGTATACTTGCGCGGCGTGGCTTACGTTAGCGGTTGCGGTGGACCTACGACAAGTCGAGCAGCGACGACGTTCGACGCCGGAGGGCGAAGGGGAACTCGGACGAACAATGGAAGACATCTCAGCAGAAGTTGTAAATATGTGTGTATTTTATTCTTTCTGTGTAACATGTTGCATTGTGGGAAAAAGGAGCTGAAAACTACCGACACACACTATGATGTAACTATGTACGACTACATTGGACCGGTCAAATAAATAAATCAAATAAAACAAACATAAATGTAGTGCAGTGATTCGGATATGAGTAATCTGATTTTTTCAAGTTCTATAAAAGAAGTCTTGAGCTTTGAATGTATTTGTGGTAAAAACTGAATTAAAAACAGTTAAAATAGTACTTGTGAGAGCGAGGAGAGCAGCAAATGTTGAATCTGATAACGACGAAGCAGGAAGTGTGCGGGAAACGGGCGGAAATCCGTTCTCAGAGCAACTGATGTTCAGAGTGAGAGCGTCCACCGCACATGTGGTCAGACCCGAGTTCCCTGGAAAATAAACATGACATTATTAATTCATATCCACATGAAGACAAACGGACACACACGACTCCGGTAAAAACAACACACACACACAATCAAGTCTAAGCTTTTTAGTTCCAGCTTTAAGAACTGTGCATTCACTGTGTATGTTCGTGCAACATCTAATAATAATAATAAATAATAATTAGGGCTGTCAAACGATTTAAATTCTGAATCGAATTAATTGCAGCTTAAAAATGATGCCCTATTTTTCTGTAAATGGTTGTTTGAATGGAAAGATAAATGACAGCATAGTGTACATATGTACAGTATTTGTTTATTATAACAATAAATCCATATAAAATGGCTTTAACATTATTCACATTCTGTCTCTCTGTTTAGACTCAGACCAAAACTATTGTTTGTTACAGATGAGGGACATTTAAAACAGTGTGAACAGAATGTCATTACATCTGTTTGATTCACAACATTTTACTTTTGGGCACAACCAACATGAACTGGTAGAGGAAGGGAAAAAATAGGCACCCCGGCTTTAATTTAGCAATTTAAGTTGTGCGGAGGAGTCCAGCTTCAGAGGTGTATTTATTGCATGCACCGGTTACGTAAAGACACACACACAACATGCAGAGAATAGTCCTGTGAGCGTGACGCTACGGAGGCGCCGTTTGCCGGGTTGAAGGTGGGAACCTCTGTCCAGAGCAGCCGCAGCTGCCCCGGGTCAGAACGTTGCGGACTCTCGTTCCAGTTCACACAGGAAACAAGAGGCAAGTGCCCCGCGGTCACGAGCGTTTTCTTTTGAAACTTGAGATCCCAGAGACCTGCTCTGTCTCCAGCCTCGCATGTGTCCGCAGCACTTGTGTTTATGGGATGCATGGGCGGGTCATCCAGGACATGCGTCATATGCGTTAATTTTTTTAACGCGATTAATGACAAAAATTAATGAACGTGTGTTAACGCAATAATTTTGACAGCCCTAATAATAATGCATTGGGTTTTTTTTTCTTTTGGACGTTAAAAAGATGCTTCACATGTTGTTATTCTTTCACTCCAAACACGGTGGTGATAAACTACAACAGTAGCCACAGCTGCCCTGGGGCACACTGACTGCAATGATCCCTTTTTCTCTTTTTAAAACCCATCCATCCATCCAGTTTCTCCTCCTTATTCCATTTCTGGGTCGGCGGGGTGGCAGTCAGAGCTGCCCCCAGTACAGAGCACCAGCCCCTCACTGCTCCTCCTTCAGGTGGCGAGTCCAGAGGGGCCTTGATCTTTCAGCGGGGGAATCAGGCAAAGTGGGGTTAAGTGTCTTGCCCAAGGACACAACGACAGCAGACATCAGTGGGAGTCGTGAAGTAGGTCTTGTGTTGGGCTCGAACCCATGACCTTCAGGCTCAAAGGCCAATGCTCTACCAACTGAGCTACTGTCGCCCCTTATCTTTTTAAAACCACGGATGACACATTTGACATAATGTTTGTTTTTGTTGAAGTTTTGCTCCATGGCAGCACACGTTAGCAGACGTTAGCAGACGTTAGCACACGTTAGCAGACGTTAGCAGACGTTTAGCACACTAGTGGACTCACGACAAGCCCCGAGATCCAAGATGGCGCCCGATTCAAATGAATGGCTTGTGCTCAGTAGTGCATGTGACGTGCACGGGGGCTGAGAGAGGGGCTCGGCCGCGTTTTGACCAATCAGAGCTGCTGATCAGAGCGGAGCCAGAGCGAGAGCCAGACAAGCAGAGTTTGTGGCAGTAAAGTGTAGATTTAAAGAAAACCGAAGGATTTAAGAAGAAAAAAGATGAGGATGACAAGAGACACTAAAATCCCCACAAAATCCGACCTTTATGAAAGCTGTAGAATATTGTTATAGAAATATTTTAGTAAAGGAACCTGAATTAACACCAAATAGTTATGAGTGTTTAAGTTATTAACTAACAGTGAACTCTGGATTCAGATACAGGCCATAATGCTCTGTTGGCAGCAGGTCAGTGATAGATGGAGACGTGCTGCATCATGTCTTTGACCTGGGTCATAGAACAATATGTTCAGTTCAAAAGCAGATTGTTACATATATCAGAGTTGTATCAGCGTTAAGACGCGTAAGGAGAGGCCTTGAGCAACACATATCAATGTTGACTTCATTTATGTAATATCTAGAGTAGATATGCGTTTGTTTACTCTGGTCTATTTAATGTACAGTTATTTCCTCAATCGGGGCAGTCGATTTCAGACGGCTGCCCGGTGATATTGGTATCGGTTCTGTTATTCATTGTAATTGTGCACATTTACTAATGAATAAACTAACACTTTGTTTGGAATTACAGCTCTGAGTTGTTTACATTATTTTACTCTTGTTATGTGCAGAATTTCCACAATATTCTCTGTCAGGTTCTCTGTCAGCTGAGGTCGAGCTGTTTTAGTTTACATTGAGTTCTATGGGACTTTTTCTAGTCTGCAGTACCACAGCGTCCCATGTTCCCATAGGAGGGACAACTACAAGGTAGCAACACTCTATCTAGTAATTATTATAGATCCATGACTCACGGTTGGGCTGCAGCGCAGAGTGAGCGATGACCACAGAGCCCGGTGATGTAATGTCTTTAAGCAGAACCTCAAAGTGCCGCCCGTGGTGTTTGTTTGCTCTGCAGATGGAGCCACTCGCTTCATCGCTCCAATAAACAAACCTCTACAAACAAAAACTGGTGTTTAGCAAAAGTTACACTGGAAAAAGTAAAATCTTGGTAAGATTTACTTACTAAAATCAACAAATGATGAATAATACTTGAAATGTATGTTTTTAAACTAGAATCATGTCGTTTGGAGCTTGTTTTTTTCTTATTTTCAAAAATTTCAAGTCATATTTTCCTCTTCTATTGGCAGATCAATTTTATTATTATTTTCTTTTTCTTATTTTATTCAAGGTATTGTTTCCAGTGTAATTATTCACTGACCTCAAACAGGGCGAGTCCAAAAGGCCGGTCCAGGAACCCGTTTGATTCCACCACAGTTTTCCGATAATGACCTTCTAGATTCACTCTGGAGATTCTCCTCAGTCCCTGGTCGGCCCAGTACAGCAGGTCCCGGGGCAAATCTGGAAAACAGGTCAAGTTTATAATGTTTTTGGTTTGAATAAAAAGGTCATGAAATTGTTTTGGTGCAATTGTTTTTCATCTCACCGAGAGAAAGAGCCACAGGTTTATGGATCAAAGTATTGACTAAAGTGGTCCGATTCTGGCCGTCCAACGTGGACCTCTGGATTTTAGGATTCTTCCCACACTCTGCCCAGAAGATCACTCTGAGAAATGAAAGCATTGAAGAAAATACGTCACAATAATCCTGTAAACATTGACAACAAACCAGACCAAATTATAAACAGCGACTGAACTGAAGTGACAACGATAAGACTTCTGGAAACAGCAGAAAGTCCTGGGTGTCTCTGAAACAGTTGTTTTGTGTTTTATAATTGTAATCTTTCTAGCTTTCTTCTGCCTGAGATGTTGCTGCAGTTCAGTGTTCATGGTTTTACACTGGTCCAGACCAGAGCAGAGAGGATTCATGGTTTAACACTGGTCCAGACCAGAGCAGAGAGGATTCATGGTCCGAACCAAGTGGATCAGGTGAAAATCCACTGGAGGAATGCTAACTTTTTGAAAAATGCTAATGAAGCATTTAGTATTTTACTTTGGACCAGAGCAGAGAAAATGGTCCGACCCAAGCTCCACCTCTGCTGCTGTGACTTGAAGGACTGCTGTATTTTAATATCATTGTTAGATATTTTTAGAATGATCTATTTATTTGTTTTGTTTGTTTGGATGGATGTGTTTCTGCTGCTTTTGGACACCTGCATTTCTCCTACAGGGATCAATAAAGTATCTATCCATCTATCTATCTGTGTATGTATCTATAACAAAGCCGAGGGAATGCCAATGTCTGAAGACTTCAACATTTTCCAAAAGAAGGCAACTCTGGATCACTTCGGCCTCGTTTTTTTCTTCATTTATGGACCACAGCACTAAACAAGAAGCAAACAACAAACTGCAGAGTGACTTCATGAGTGAGCCTGGGTTACCCTCGTTCCGGGTGCACTGCCACAGCCCTGGGCGAGTCTAGTCCAGTCCACAACACACGCTGCACTGAGCCGTCAATCACACTGAGGTGAAGAGAGCCCGAGTCTGCACTGGACCACAGCAGCAGGCCCCGGGTCCAGTCCACCCGCCAGACCATGCACGGGGCCGGCTGCTTTCAACAACAGCTGGGCCTCATGTCGCACCCCGTCAAATAACAACCTGAGAAAACAAATCACAGGACTGTAGTCATACTATATAATTATGAAAAACTAAAATAGCTAGATCCTAAATTTCACACTATAAGGCTTGAATGCATTTGAGTGGGAGAGTGTGTATGAACTGCTACAGAATCAGCTTCATTTTCATCCCATTGTATGTTTATGAAACCGGATCACCAGGAGGAAACCTACAGACCTGGGGAGAACATGCAAACTCTACTCAGGGCTCCATGCACAAGGCCTTCCCATAAGCTTCCCTTTATATTGATAAACTCAGCCAACTCATTAAAGGCTATTATCACACGGCTCTTCACAGCAGCAGTAGAACGCTCCATTGATTTGAATGTAATTTCTAAAAGTTCTGCAGGTCATTATTTCTGCATAACCGACCTCTCAAAACACTAATGGCCGCTGCCCTTTGGCAACGCACCCTCTGCTTGTAAGTCAGATGTGTAGATTACAAGTAGTTCCAGCCACTTCGTCACTACTACTGTCTGTGCAGAGAAGCTAACGGAGCTTATACTGTTTTATTGCGTCAATCCGCGATCGCGATAAATCCGGAGGTAATTATTAACATTAATTAAACATTTCAGGACACATTTGCAGAGGATCTGATGATTTATGAGTTTATATTTGGGAAACTCACCGCTGATCTTCTCTTTGATCACTTTTCATGTAGTTTCAGAGAGCCTAGCCTCGCCTGCCACAGGGAAACATTTGGGGACCATTTTCTTTACAGTCATTAAATAAATCTTTCGGCATTTATAAAAGTGAATAGAGTTTATTTTGTGTGTTCAGTTGGTACAAAGCCGTATAATACGGTACGGTACCATCAGGGCGGAGCAGAACCTGACGTGCCCTAATTTTTTTTGCTGATAAACGGTATATATGAGTGTCCAATAGTGTTGTCTACATATCCTGGTCATAATTTTTTAATTTTAGTGCAAATTTGTTGAAAGATCAACTTTCTGCCTAAAACGGTCAGTGAGGCGCCATCTGCAGGCGACATGTATTTACTACATTTTAATTTTGAATCTGGCACCACCGTTGGCGCAGCAGTGATACTTGACGTCCGCAGTGAAGGCTGACGTCAGTTTCCCTGCCGCCCTGAGGTATATAAACAGCCCAGTCTCGTTCACGCCCCCCTAGCGAAGGAATGAAAGAAGAGCAGAGAGTATTTTCATCTCTCTCGAAATACCAAGGATATTTTGATAATAATTTTTTTATTGCGTGCGGCTGGATATTTTGTTCATACAACTTTATAATTTCTTCAATCCAAGTTTTTAAAGAAGTAAAATTCTACACTACATAGAAAAAGTGAGAAAGGGACCGCCCTGTGAAGTCATGTCTCTGAATGACACTGTGGTTTTGTTTCCTGAAGTAATGTGGGCGAATCCTCTCAATATGTGGATGATTCTAGATTTCCATTTGACACTGGGGTGGGTTAAAACAAGGAAAGTTTCTCACTGTTTTGCAAACCGCATTTAGTTTCACTTGTTTGGGCGGCACGGTGGCTGAGTGGTTAGCACTCCCTCTTCTCAGCAAGAAGGTCCTGGGTTCGATTCCACTCAGCCTTTCTGAGTGGAGTTTGCATGTTGTCCCCGTGTTTGCGTAGGTTTCCTCCGGGTACTCCGGTTTCCCCGACCACTAAAAACATGTACAATAGGTCTGTGCCTCCTGTGGACTAATGGCCACAATTCTAAAGCGCTTTGACTCTGGTCTGTGAAAGGCGCTATATAAATAAACATTACTTACTACTTACTTACTTGTTTAATGCAAACAGTACATTAATAATTTGTAATGAATAAGAAAAAATATGTAAAAAACACATTTAAGTTGGCTTTTTGTGCACAGGTGAAGACTGAGTGATTGCACAGATTGAGTCTAATAACAGTCAGTAACAAAGATGATTTGTACAAAAGATCAGTGTTTTTCAACCAGTGGGCCTTGGGAAGTTTGCAGGCCTTGAGATGTCATATGGTGTGCCTTTGGAAATGGTCAAAATAAAGTAAAAAGAAAATATTGTGAGAAGATTAGACTTATTTGTGCTTGTTTGAATTCTTCCACTTTGATGAGAATGACTTTCAGAGTCTGCAGAGTTTCATGTTTGCATAAGTTTTAGCTGGCAGTGTGCCACGTTGTTCTCAATGGTACAGGTTTGGCACGGCTCAAAAAGGTTGGGGACCACTGCTATATACGACATACGACAAAAAAAAAGCACTAAATAGTAGGGGTGCAACGGTTTGAAAAAATCACGGTTCGGTTCGTACCTCGGTTCAGAGGCCACGGTTCGGTTCATTTTTCGGTTCATTTTTCAAAAAAAAAGTGTTGTCTTTTTAATAAACACAGCTCATGTGGACTCGGCACCTGCTCTGACTGCCCCCCCTGACCTAGAAATGAATTAAGGGGAAGGAAATGGATGGATGGATGGAAGGAATATTCCATCCATCCAATTATGTCTATTTAACATAATTAATGAAAAACAACACAAAGTGCAACATAAGAAGGCACTTTATGAGGATATTTACTCTCATATATTACACCACCTTCCTGATTCGAGGAGGCGCTCCATTCTGGGCCCAGCCTCATTCACTGCATTTATTTAATTTTTGGCATTATCAGTTGTGACTGGGATATTAGTACTGGGCGTTTGTCTTCCATTCCTCCGCTGCTTGTGTCAGTACCGGCGCTGTGTGACAGTGTGACTGTCGTAGAGGGGGCGTGTCTGCAGCGCCAGACTTTTCATCTCCCAGTCTGCGGTGATGAAGTGAGCGGTTCTGCTCATGGATCTATTATAGGTTCCGCGGGACGTCCAAGCGTCAGTCGTGAGCTGAGCTGAGGATGCGCGGGAGAGTTGACTCTAGCCCGGTCTGACTGTGCGTAAAGGAGCTGCTTAAATGCCGCGACAATAAGCGGTCGTTGAGACGCTTTTTTCACTCATGTCTTTCTTGTGCCACAGTGCTTACACATCGTGACAGTTTTGTCGAATATTAATTATCAGTGTAGTTACAGTGAAGCCAAAATGCTCTCATACTGGGGATTTAAATGACGCGGGGCTTTCAAGCATCTCCGTTCCTCCGCTCGCAATGACCGCGCTGTGTGTGGACTGAACAACGTGCGCACAACTTTTTTTTCATAAATCAAACCGCGGATAACGTCTGTACCGAACCGAAGACGTTGAACCGAACGGATCACGGATCAGTGATGAACCGTTGCACCTCTACTAAATAGACTTTAGCTTGTTTTCAGTGACTTTCTACAGGGGTTGATCTTTTAATTACTTATAATGAAACTGGACGGTTATACCTGTAAATGGACGTGGATCCCGGCTGTGCCAAGAACACAGTGTTATTGGAGGACAACACGGTCATGTGCCGCCGTCCGTGTGAAGACTGGAGCGTTTTAGGCACAAAGTCAGTGATGTCGGCGAAATGCACTCCTTCAAGATCAGCAAAAAACAGCTGAGCAGCGTCACCTGTTGGTCATAAAAACATGTTTGTATATTTAGACTAGAAATACAAAGGAAATTATTATTATTATTAATATTACTCATATGTATTCTTAACAGCCTGGGAACATTGGGACCCCCTGGAGGAGCCGGAGGAAGTGTGCAAAGGGAAATGGACGGATAGACTTTGCGTTGAGCCCATACAAATATTAGAATCATTCTTCTATAACTTGTATGAATGAAGGGTTGTTCTTCCACAGTAACCTTTAGCTCTGCAGGCCCTTGCAGCAGTGCCCTCCTGATGGTCCTCCTGATGGTCCTCCTCATAGTCCTCCTGACACCTGCAGCTCAGATGGTCCTCTGAGTAAGAACACAACTGGTCACACACGTCAGCTTCAAGACACGGGTTCATTTCTAAAAGAAAAAAGAAACGCACAAAGGAAGCAAGAATGAATGATATGAAAGTATTTTCATATCACACTAAAGCATGAATGAATGAATGAATGAATGATATGAAAGTATTTGATGTTGGTCTGATAGTACAAACCCTCACAGTGGCCGTCCCCCCTCTGCCTCGTGTTGTTGGGGCATTCGCAGTGGAAGCCTCTGGGCTCGTCCACACACACAGACGGGCAGCCGCCGTTATTCAACAGACACTCGTTCACATCTGCAGTGAAGGATCAGAAAAGAAAAGTATCGGTATTTTCACGTAACAGAGTTTGATTTCATTGACTGCGAAAGCACAGGAACCTCTGTCAGAAACAGACCCACACAGCCGGACCCAAACATTCACTTTCATGTTGATAGTTTGAGCTTCTTGTTTTATCTGAACTAATTTCTCCTAAAACATAATGTTCATTATTCAGACTTTACTAAATACCAGATAATAATGTAATTATTACACATTTACATCCAAAAATCATCTCTACGCTGCTTTAAAATCCGCTAGCCTTTGTGCAGCCGAACCTTAGCCCCGCCCACATCCTCCAGAATCCTGAGGATGACGGGGACAAACTCCCACTTTGGGAACCACTTGTTTAGTTAAGTATAATTCAGTATGCTAATGCTAATGCTAATGCTGCCACATGTGGGACATGAGGCTAAAGTACAGAGTTCACGGAAGACGTTGGTTTAACTTTATGTTTCACGAAGTCATTATAGTCAGTTACTATTCGCCCGGGGTTACATTTACAGTGAGAAAACTTCAGTTTTCATTTACAAAATTGGGGGGCATTTGAATGATGGTGATATTTTTCATATTTATTAAATTTCTAAATCCTTTGGTGAGCTACTTGGAAGGAGATGGTGACCTCCTGACAGACCTGAAGCTACAGGTTGGAGACCCATGGTTTAACGACTAATAAGACCAGTCTTGTGTTTCACGGACCACAGTCTTCCTCGTCGCTGCCGTCGCTGCAGTCGTTCGTGTTGTCACATTTGTAGGAGTGATGGATGCACCGTCCGTCTCTGCACTGGAGCTCTGAGGCGGCACAGGAAGTGGTCTGCGACGCACAAAGAAGCGGATCCTCGTCCCGGGCGTCTTCACAGTCGCTCTGTCCGTCGCACAGCTGCTGTTGGGACAGACACCACCCCGACGCGGCGCAGCGAAAGCCCGAGGTGCAGTTCGGACAAGACCTCTCGTCGCTGCCGTCGCTGCAGTGGTCTGTCCCGTCACAGAGGAACAGCACGGACACACAGTGCCCATCATCACAGAAGAACTCTCCACTCTTACAAACCCGCTCATCTGTGAAGAGACACAAGAACAGGACAAAGCTGTAGTACCTCACTTTTTGTTTTAAATGCATGAATACATTTTAGATAGATTTAGATAGATTCAAATAGACAGACAGACAGACACACACACACACAGAGATCCCTGTAGGAGACACGCAGGAGTCCAGTAGCAGCAGAAACACATCCACACAATTGTTCTGTGTTAATATTGTGCAGAACTTTATATGAAATTAGTGGAAAGTTGTGGATAGCCCTGTGTTACAGTGAAGCTAATTTTGTTTAATGAGAATTATGGGGGTAGGATTAACAACAAACAGAAGATTCTTTGATTGCGCTGAATAACTGCTCATTTCCACAGGAAGCGTTAACGGCATGTAAGCGTTGACTGAGCGCATTTGTGGGTCAATGACGTGACGCCCTCTTTTTTTTGGGCATTCTGTAAAAATACATTTAAAAATAATATATATATTTTTTTTTTTATTAAAATTGGTTTAATAAAACATAGTCTAAGTGCCTAGCATGTAAAGTTTCTATTTGCATCTCTTTTGGGTGAACAATATGGTTATTTAGGCAAAAATGGCTAAGTGGTGTAACCCAAAAAAATGTAACAAAAATCTTCCCCTTACTTAAAAATGGCAAAATTCTTAACAATTTAGTTCGTAAAACAGTCTGGCATAATATTCAACTATTTATATTAATGATAGATGTAAATATATTCTTCAGTTTCTTTCGACATTTTTTGTCTGAATCCGGGAATTTTGAAAGTCAAGTGTACTTCACCTACTTCACCGGTGGTGTTACCGGCATTCAGGCGGCCATTTTGCTCATAATGCAAAAGAAAATTAAAAGACAGTAAGTTACATCTGGCAGCAGGACCCCTGATGACACTACAGTTGCATGTCAAGGCCACTTTCTCTCTTCAAAATATGAAATAATTTGACATATTTCAGACATGAGGATGTATACAACCGTTTGCATGTCCAATGGTATGACCCGAGTAAAACGTAAATAATTGATTTATAATATATAAACAAATATCAAGTAGAACATATATGTTTAACACATTACACAAAGACTATGTGGTCATAAAGTAGTCCATGTTGATGCTTGAATAAAATGATTGAAAAATGAAAAGTCTAACGGTGTAACCGGTTACACCATTTGACTCTTACCCTAGACCTTTCTATTTGAGGTAAACTTTAATGGATTACACCCATAATTAGACTATATTTAGGTTATATATCTATATTATAAGTCAGATAATTACATGTGAACACTAATATGCAGCTGTAAATGTATTTGCTTAAAAAGCAAATACATGAATTCTGCTAGAAGCGACAAGGAAAGGCTGGTGAGCGATACTAAATTAAAAGCTATCGACGTCTAAATGGTCTTACCACACCATAGTACAAATTTCCTTTGGTACTAAGGTCTGGATTTTCTCCATTGAGCTCTATTAATAGATGGGAGGGGTTAACTCCTTTTGCAGATCTGAGTTTACTGTGACGTATGTAATGAGCCCGAGTGAGTCGCTAGCCTTTAGTATTTAGCCTAGCTTTAGTCATCTCAGTTGCCATTGACGGAGCCCGTGGGGAGTAGAGCCACAACATCTTGGTAGCAATGACATTTGCTAAACATTCCTTTTGATCCGGCTTAAATGTTTTGATATTTGGAGCCAAAACCGAATGAATTACTTTACTATCGCATTTGCCGCAATCGCCAAACTACTGTAGGGAAATAATAATTGACCGGAGTATACAGATGGCTAAGGCCAGGCTAATATTGTCTGACTTAGTGGAAAAAGTGCCAATCATCTTAGAAAGTGAGCTGTGTGAGCGATGCCAACAGTGACTTGTAAACAGAGACGCACATGTTTAGTAGTAGGCATAGTAAGCTTTCCCTCTGGAGAGGGTGGTTTTTTTCTAAAATTTGGGAAAATCCTCCTAAAAGAACTTCAAGCAGCCAAACAGCAATCCTGAATGGTGCGCACTAGGGCTGCGCAATATGGCCCAAATCACACCAAATCCGATTTTCAATTTTAACCAATCATTTTTTTCTTTTTAAAAACAAACTACAACTGACAAAGAAATTATTTTCCTTTATGCAGTTTAATCTAAATTACCCCATAGAGCAGAAGTGTAACAGGAAAAAAGCCTTAAAACATGCTTGTAAACGAGATGGCCCTGCCGTTGTAAACAGTGAAAATGCAGCTTAACAGTTTTCTAATAACTTCACTTACAGTGACACAATGCACCTTCAAAATAACTTCAAATATATCAATCGTATTAAACACATACATTACTTACATGAAATATCACATTTTTACAACGAATGATTACTCTAAATACAATTGTTTTAACAGAGAAAGTCTGTTACTAAAGCCTCCTCCAGCACGTAGTACAACGCTGGGTCCAGCTGGTGGCGCTAACACTAACTTCAGCGACTACCTCGGGGTTGAGTTAAGTTTCCGTTTCTCTTGTTTACATTCTGCTACTGTGGCTCACAACTCTGCACGGATCACGTTATTTGTATCAGAGCAATGTGTGTCTTTCCCCAAAGTGCAGCGGCTCATTGCGTGTGCGCCGCGGACACGGGAGCGCGCTTTGGCGACCGGAGCCAGGCAGGATACAAGAGTGTGTTGGTGTGTTCTGGCGATTAAATAAAGTCTGATTGCAACAGCACCACACTGTGACAGCGAGGGTCAGGACAGAAGGGAGAATATTGTTTTGTTGATATTCAGGTTTGTTTACACTGAAGTTAGGCCCTGTTAGGCCTCGGATTGGCCTTTCGTTTGCACGGCGGCTCCTCCAGAGTGAAACAAAATGAATTTGCTGCGTGTTTTATATTGGTGTTTTCATGATGTGGTTACATACATAAAATATAGTTACGTATGTAGGCCTCCTATACATTTTTCTTCACAAATGTAACAGTCGATTTTCTCAGCGGATAAAACGGGTACTATATTGTGAGGCGTAGTAATCTGAGGTGCGCTACGTCCGTGCACTAACTTCTCTCCGGAGACTTCTCTCTCGCTCACTTCCGTCAATAGAAGCAGCGTGACTTGTAGTACGGAGAGAAGTTAGTGCGCGGACGTAGCGCCCCTCAGATTACTACGCCTCACAATATAGTACCCGTTTTATCCGCTGAGAAAATCGACTGTTACATTTCTGTGTTACTATACTTTGCAGTGTAACACGTCACGTAACTATATACATTTAATAGGGAACACTTGGAAGAGTTTGGTAGCTTCTAGCGGGAGCTACCTTTTGGTGCTACAAAATATACAGAGGAGGCTGCATTTGTGCTCCCGTTTTTGCTCCGTTTGCATGACAGAGCGCACGGACTAAGACCAGACAGGTACGTATTAACTAGTCTAAGGTAAGGTAAGAACATATGTCAGTATGTAAAAACGGTGAACTATTCCTTTAAGAAGCAGCCTTGTCAAATGGTGTAACCAGATTTTAAAGTTAAAAACAAAATGTCCAAAAAAGAGAGACTAGTAATTGCCTTTTTGTTGTACATATATATCATGTAACATGTTTGCACATTTCCTCCTTTTGCACAATCTGAGTGTTCTATCCATGCCAAACGTGACATGTAAATTTCTCCTTGTGAGTGGTTAAAATGATAAATATTCAGAATAGGATATTATCAAATAATTTATTTTTAATGGTCTGCTTGCAACAATAATCAGTTATTTCCATCTGTGCACTTACACTCACTTAAAGTATATTAATACTGCTATATTTTTTATTCATTTGTTGGTTACACCACTTCACATTTTCATGTGTGTATAATCGTATCGCAGAGGGGAAAAAGTGAAAATAGTAAAAAAAAACAATGAAACATGCATAACTTAAAAGTACACACCCTAACCGACATGGTATTTTTAGTTTTATTAAGCAATCAAAAGATTTTTAAATTTATGATCTTGCCAACTCTTATTTGTAATTGACCCTTGTGCGTAACAGTATTTGGCTGTATGTCCACTGGCCGTGCACATGGGTCCTTCTGTGCACGGCTTCTGATGCTCTCCCAGTGTAGTCGGTGGAGAAGTGTAGAGGACAGTACAGAGGACTGATGTAGAGCAACACAAATCACATGTGTTTGTCTTCATGGTCTCTGTGCGCTGGTTTGGCCAGACACCAGACTTTATGAAAGAAAAAAACGATGTCCAGAATCACTGTAAAACCTGCCAGTCCTGCTCCTACTGTTTAGATACAGGTGCTGTGTGTGTGTGCGCGTGCTCGTGTGTGGATGCACACACCTGTATATATAAGGTCCCACAGTTGACAGTGCATGTCAGAGCACAAACCATGCATGATAAATAATAGATATTTTTTAATTATTGTGTTTTGCATGCAAGGATGCCCAGCCACAACGGCTTTTAAGACACCATTTACACAAATACAGAGACGCAGGCAAACATCAGGCACATAAACAAAATCATAAAACAAAATCAAACGCAAATAAGAATAACCCCACGTCCTGGTCCCGTCCTGGTCCACGTCCTGAGTCCACGTACTGGCCACGTTCCTGTCCACGTCCTGGTCCACTTCCTGGTTCCACCGTCCTGGCCACGTCCCTGGTCCACATCCTTGTTCACGTCCTGGTCATGTCCAAGTGGGTCCAGCAGTCAGACAGTCTGCTTTGAGAAGGGCCTCACTCTCAGATGTGTGGACTGACACCTCAGAACAAGCAAACCCATCCAGAAGGATCATCTCCAAAATAAGGAAAAACTATTTGTACACAAGTCTCAGAGGTCTGCTTCCCACGAAGAGCTCAAGACCTGGAAGAACCTCTTCCTCTGCAAGTACAAGTGAAGGAGGAAGAACTGGTGTAATCATGGAGCTGCTAGGTCTTCTTCTGTGTCCATCTGTAAGCTCTGATAAGCTCCTGGTCCAAACCTGGTCTGGTCCTGGTACTGTCTTGGTCCAGATGGAATAGGTGCAGGGAGAGCAGAGGGTATTGTGGGAGAACTTCAGGATCCTGAAGAACTGTGAGATTAAGAACGGAGCGAGTGGACGCAAAGCACTGAAACAAAAACATTGAAAACCTGATCTAAAGCAGTCACATTGTGGGTCTAACGGGTCTAAACCAAGTCTTAAACAGGATTAAAGCAGACTAAAGCATGTAAACTGAATCCAAACGAGACCTGCAGATTCCACACGTAGCAGGGGCTTGATGCCCGTCAGTCGCACTTCCTTCCTCGTGATGCTGATCCAAAATGGTCCGCCATGTTTTCTAGGGAGAATCTTCAGCGTGAGCTCTGTGGGATTCCACCGTCACTTTATAAAAGGCCTGCAACCACAAGAACAACAACCTCACTTTCTCACACGTACGTCTGTCAGCAGTGCACGTGCTAAAGTTAACATATAGTTGAAAAATACAGAAGCTTGCTCATCCATCATCTGTACTTCAGTTTAGCCAGTTTTTCCTGACTTTGTTCTTAATCCAGAGCACTATTTCAAATTTTACGATTTAAGATTTTAACTTGTGGGTGTGGTTGACCACATCATGGCTAACGCGTTATCACACTAAGGTCTGCTACAAAGTAGACAGAAATAGTGCATCCCAAAGACAGAACAGCCAATCACAACAGAGCAATGTGGTGTATTCAATTAAATGTAGAGAAGTAGGAGTGAACTGACCATATATTGGAGAAATCTAAACCAAACTCTACAGAAACTAACGTGACCAACATCGTAAGAAAATGCAAGCGGGCCAACATCCGGGCTGTACATCTCCACCTCAAGCCACCAACCACCCCGTGAACGACATCCGAGGTTAAAATCTGGTGCGAGACCAAAACTGGATTGAGAGGAGGGTGAGATATGCCATTTATGAGAGAAAATACAAACCTTCCCGAAACAGTGGGGTCGGTTTTACGAATTGTTATTTGCCTCGCATCTAAGACAATGTCCTTAAAACAACTTCCTATCAATAGATAAGGTTATCTCAGCAGAAGGCAATCTCACTCTCTGCAACAGCTGCACGGCCTGGGCTGGGAATCAGCACCCTCCAAATCTGAGGCCATGGTGCTCGACCGGAAAAAGGTGCCTTGCCCTCCCTGGTGGGTGGAGAGGTCCTTCTTCAGTGGAGGAGTTCAAGTATTTCGGGTCTTGTTCACGATGAGGAAGATCGTGAGATTGACAGGCGTATCGGTGCAGCGAGCGCATGATGCGGTTCTCTGTAACGGACCGATGTGGTGAAGAGAGACTGAGCCGAAATGCAAACCTCTCGATTTTACCGTCAATCGTCGTTTCCCTCCCTCAGCTTATGGTAATGACCGAAAGAACGAGATCGCTGATACAAGCGGTCGAAATTAGCTTCCTCCGCAGAGTTGCTGGGCGCTCCCATAGAGATAGGTGAGAGCTCAGTCACACGGGAGGAGCATCGGATAGAGCCACTGCTACTCCACGTGAAGAGGAAACCAGTTGAGGTGCTCGGCAATCTGTTCCTGATTGCATCCTGGGACGCCTCCCAGGGAGGTGTTTTCCGGCACTTCCCACCGGGAGGAGGCCCCGGAGAAGACCCAAGACAACGAGGGACTATGTTCTCAAGCAGGCCCTGGGAAAAGCCTTTGGGTCCCCCCGGAACAGCTGGAGGAAGTGTGTGTGAAGGGGAAGTCTGGGCGTCTCTGCTTAGACTGGCTGCCACCCGCGACCTGGCAACGGGTGAAGTGGAAGAAAAAGAATGGATGGGCAATTAGTCTCTCACTCCTCATAGAACAGAATGGGCCAGTACCTGAGCGCATGCCAGACCTATTGTAGCATATTTTTAGGGGAAACCGAGTACCCTACGCAGACATGGGGAGAACATAAACTCCACTCCATAAAGGCCCTGGTCCACTGGGATTTGAACCCGGACCTTCTTGCTGAAGGGGACAAGAACCGTACCGCCCGTGCTTTTGTGTTCTCTATATGGTGGTGGGGTTCTACCTAAAGATGCTAGAAATTTAGCAAAACCTTATTAGGTGATTGAGTCCTATGCTAAAGACAATGGCCCGAAGTGATTTTTTAGTTTAGGTAATTTTTGGATCCCATACATAAACAACTTTACCCAATCGTAGAGAAAATGCTATAACAAAAAATCGGCTGTACAACTCCATCCAAGGCACCAACCACACTGAACGACACAGAGGTAAAACAATCTGGCTCTGACAGTCATTAGTTTTGAGAGAGGAGTGAAGAAGCAATCCTCAGCAGACAATCGTCATGCTAATGAGTCAAGAGTTTATGCAAATGAGTTAGAAATCGTCAGCCCTGAGGCAGACCTTAGATAAATAAGATTGCTTTATTATCTCACAGAGGAGAAATTTACATTTCACATTTGGCATGGATAGAGACACTCAATTGAGCCCCATAAAAGGGGGAAATGTGCAAACATGTTACATGCTGGATATATGTAGCAATAAAGTGACAAAAATTATGTACAACAAAAGTGACAAGTGTCAATTGAAACAGGTCAATAGTAGTGGCAGGTTTTCACACAGTGATCATTTAAAGTGACTATTTTACAGTCAGACAGCGAGGGGATAAAGCCCGCGGAAGCCGCTCCTTCCTACCCGAGGGTGCCTCAGTCTTCCACTGAAGGTAGCTCCTCAGCTCCTCTACAATCCTGTGCAGGGTGGGGAGGTATTGTTTATGATGGAGGTACATTGGCTAGCACCCTCCTGTCCTCACCTCTCCACAGAGTCCGAGGAGGAGCAGCCAACGTGGAGCTGGCCCTCCTGTCCAGCCTGTTCATCGCTTCTGTCCCACTGTGCTGCCCGTGCCCAGCACAACGCAGCGTAGTAAATGGCCAGAAGCTACCACAGAGTCATAAAACTGTCCTGAGCAAGGCCTGCTCACTCGCGAAGACCTCACCTCCTCAGAAGGAAGAGGCGACTTTGCCTTCTTGTGCAGGGCGATTGTATTATGGGACTAAGTCATTTATTGTTTAATGTGACCACCCAGGTACTTGAAGCTGTCCCACCAGCACAATGTTCCTCCCCCTGGATGTTTCAGCAGCGTGTGGGAAAGTGGTGTTCTCCTGAAGTCCGATGACCATCCCCTTTCAGGTTGCATTCCACGCGTGGGTGCGGTACATATATATGTGTGTTTGGTCGGTCAGGTAGTCCACGTCAGGAGCTCTTGGGAGAGGCGTCCTGTGACTACGGATGACCTACGGTCTGTGTTACGTGGGGGTATCCTTGGTAGGAGTGGCCCTGTAACACGCATTGTTTCTTCTGCCCTGAGTCCTCTCACTGTGTGAGGGTCTTGCTCGGGCGGAGCTCCAATCACCCTTCGCTGGCCTGCTGGGAGTACATGTTCCTACGGCCTCCGCGTTGTGTCCCACTAGCGAAGTCCTAAGGGACGTAGCACCATGACGTAGAATTAATAGTTACCTAATGTAACTTAAGTTCTACGAATAGGTGCGTAGTCCCTTAGCTACGAGCCCATCAGGCCAGCCCGGCTTGGCAGAGTTCAAGAGGGGGTGCGGCCTTGTGCAGGGGCATTTATAGAGGACGGTGGCTGGTGATTGCCACCCCCCTGACCCAGAAATGGATTAAAGGGTAGAAAATGGATGGATGGATGGATGGATGGATGGTGGCTGGTGATTGGAGCAAATTATTTTGATCTCTCTGGCGTGTGACCTGGGGGTCACGAGTGATATCCCACTAGCGAAGTCCTAAGGGACTACGCACCTGTTCGTATAACTTAAGTTACATTAGGTAACTATTAAACATATGTCAGTATGTAAAAACGGTGGCCTATTCCTTTGAGATTATTGTACTTGAGAATAGCACCATCTTGCCTGTTATGTATATATCAAGTGTTAAACTCGCATTAAGGACTAAATCTGCAGTCCTACAGTCCTGTACCGCCGTCAAACTTGGGGTTTCTTTTTTTTTCTCCAAACATTTTATTGGGTTGTTAGTATTAGATAGCAATATGGCCTACGTGCAGGACTGTACAAGGACTCTGATTATTTTGACTATGATGTGACTGTCTCTGTGTGACACGTACGTCTTTCGATGTGTGACGTGACAATGACTATATAAACTGTGTACTGACTCCATTCTGTCTGAGAGAAGTAAACAATGGAAACCACTGGAACTTGAGAGAAACTTAAATAAACTTCCAGAGTTTGGCACACCACGATCCGTCTCTGTCTGGTTCATTCCTGACAGATTTGGTGGAGGATGCGCGGCTCAGTGTGCGCCATTCTCTGGATTGTTTTGAGGGAGTTTCCTTTGTTTTCTATTTCTCGGCGTGGGAGAGCTGAGAGTGTCGGGGCCCTGGGAGCGGTCCAGCAGGCTGGAGAGGTGACCGGCTCCGGGACTTTTTTTGCTCTCTCACTATATTTTTTTGTGTCCTCTTTTTTGGACTGACTAAGCGTTTAAAATTGTTTTCCCATGTCCACATTCCGGGGATTTCTGATGTGTGATTGGTCTCTGCCGATGGAAACTAGTTCCCGGTACTAGTGAGCGCTGGTTCATGATCTGGAGACCCGGTTGGACGTGGAAAAGCTGATATTTGGTGGACTTCTGACAGTGCCTGGCGCCCTGTTCGACAAAAGGTAAGAGCGGACACCTGTTTATTCAAAGTCTGCTAATTGAGTGAACTAAATTATGGTCTGTTTTGAGGTCCACCAAATGTCATATATCTATAGATCAGATTAGATTAAAAACAGGGTCGCTACCTGAAAAAGTGTAGGCCATAAAGTGAAGGATCCA